TATATCCTGAACCCATTCAAAATGGGTATAAGGCTATATTGTATTTGTGCAAAATCCAAATGTATGTAACAGGCAGAAGAAAGCATCTCCGACCCCATAAAGTATATATATTCTTGATCAGCATCAATAGCCCAGTCGATCTAGCCATGTCCGCCTGTCTTTATGTCCGTATAAATGAACGCAAGGATCTCAAAACCTATAAGGGCTACAGACTTGAAATTTTAGATGTAGATGCTCCTAGTGCCCGCGCAGATCGAGTTTGTTTCCGATAATCGATAACTTACTCCATTTCCAAGCAATTCATAAAAATCGATATCGATATCCTGTTTTTTGGGCAATTTTGGTAAATAACAAGAGCTAGAATCGCCAAACTTGACATATAACTTATAAAATAGAATATATATATGCATTTGATGTTGGAAGAGGAGGATTCAGGGTATCCCCTAGTCGGGAGCTCCCGACTAGAACCTCTTACTTGTTGTTTTTTATATTTGACAAGTATTCATTGGGGTAATGCTTTGAACTTATAGATAATATACAATATTATAACGCTTATAATTATACAAAGTATTGTTACTTTTACAATTTGGAAGGTGTTGTACATTTTTGTAAGTTCTTTTACGATTTCTTCTTCTACTATTATTTCTCTATTGATGCAAATCTGTCTCAAAAGTGTTTTGGGTAGGTTCTAAGTAATGAGCATATTTGGCTCGATGTAATTGATTTCAAAATTTGTTCTTGTTTTTGTATAGCTACATTCGGTTGTGGCTTGATTCAAAATTCCTGTTATGAATTTATTTGTAATTAATTCTTTTGTGTTTGCCGTGTACGCTTGTTTGTTTTGTATGAAGTATTTGTCATGGATGACTTCTGTTAATATATTATTATCGTTATCTCAAAGATTGGTGTTTTGATGATCTCTCGTGGAATATGGGAAATGATTAAAATTTCGTTGGTGTCTGTTTTTAACCACGTCGAAGTTTTGATACTTAATAGTTTTTCCAAATTAACATGCTGTAAAGTGTCATGTTTTAGTAATTTTTTTCATTTCTCTTTTTAATTTTTCTTTTAAGTATCTTATCTGTAGGTATGTCTCATATTCTTCGGCTTGTTTTATTATTTTGTTATAAGTTTGTTCTGTTTTACTTATATTTAGAGACAGATAATGGTATTCATAGTTTACGGGTAAGTGTATTACTCCTGTCTTAAAGATTAAGTGGTCATTTTTAGATTGGGTTGGATTGATTTCTAAGCTTTGTGGTTGGACTTCTCGGATGAAGGTGCTTATTAGCAAAAATAATAAATATTCTGTCAGTTTAAGTTGGGCTTTCTTGGCCATTTGATCTGGAATTATCGTATTTGCGTATTTGCTTCTTGAATGGGGTTGTAGTTTTAGGTCTGACTAGGGGTGATTCTTTAAATCTAGTGTCTATTTCAACCTGTTGGCGTTTTTTGTTTAAATTTGCTATTTTATTATGTTTATTTTTTTGGGTATTATATGCGGGTGTTCCGGCATATATGGAGATATTGGCTGGTGTTCTACCAGTTGTATTATGGTTTGTCTTATGATTATACGTATAAAGTATCGTTTCAAATTTTGTTAATTTATTTACTGGATCGGATTTGCTGTTGGATTGGATGTTGCTGTTATTCTTAACTTCTCCCAAAGTGTTTTGTGAAATCTCTCAATATCAGAAATTCCATTTTTACTAGTAGTTATAGTTATTTGGACCTTTTCGGACTGTAACCATAGTTGGAGTGCTACGCACATGAATGCTGAATCTTTATCTGCATTGATTTATATTGGTTTACCCATTAGGTTGAAAAATGACTATCCTAAATATTTGTTTGCATTCATCTCTTTGGGTATGATCCAAATTGGCGAACAGTAAGGGGATTTCGACTTGCGAATTATCCCTTGTTTGATCATATCATTGATCTGGTCGAATGTTTGGGCACAGACGTATGGTTTTTTATAAGCCGGATCTTCATGTCTGGTTTGGATGACATGTTTAACCGTACTTGTGAAGTGAAGGAATTTTAACCTTCTCGGTATTGAATATCACCAAATTCATGTAAGATTTTTGTTAGTTTACCTTCCTCCTCATCGTTTAGATGATCGGGGTACTCAATTCTTGACTCATTCGCCGGCAATTCGCTTTTCGAATTGTCTTGCATGGTAAATGTATACTCATTTATCCGTATGGTTTTATCTTTGTAGCCTATTAGGGCTTGAAAGAAAGAAAGAAGTCTCTACTTAATAATACGTCATAATTTTGTGAAAAATTATGTAAATAAAATTTCTGATTAGTGGGGCAAAGTTTGCTGGGTTTCTCTTTGAGCTACCTGTTTTAATTTTGAAACTGTCGTTATATTATGACGAGCCAACGTCATGAATAACCTATCGGCAACTTCCTCATAATAACGTCTTTGACTGTGTTCTTTAATGCATTTGTATACAACATAGTATTCATCTGATTATCTTCTAGTATTAACTTATTAGATATGACAAATGACTTATATTCTAGTTCTTCTAAAAACTTACGAATACTTCCGGTAAATGCTGTATTGTAGATTATTGTTAAGAGCTATTCGCATGGCGTTTGCGTTTTGAACCTTGAGATGAGCGCCGACCTCAATTCGGTCCAGGTGTTGGCAGTGGATAACTGCATGACACTCTGCGCGTCTCTTCCTATTTGTATTTTAATGGCTTCGAACAGAACGCTGTGTTGGCGAATTCCCTCGTTGGGTATAGCTTCATGAAGAAGTCGATGCGTCTAGTCCTAGCTAAAACCACGGCGGTCGCTAGGAGACTTACCGATGACGTTTTTAATAGTGCGCTATGCAAAAAAAGTCGTTGTGATCTGCCATTATGCACATAATCTACGCTATCCAAGACTTTACGATGAAGCAATTCATGATGAGGTTTGTTGAATATGGCATAGCGATGGCTTTGCAACTCCTCGTTATATGCCGCTTATAGCACTATCTATTAAACTCCTGAAAGCACTGCAAGGCTGTTAATTCTTTACATTTTGAGTTTGCCTTTAACCCATGTGTGCTTGTTACAGCTAAGCTAGCTTTCTTTAATTAGTTTCGTTGGGTCGAGAAACATTCCGCCAAACTTCTCGATTAGAAAAGTTCATACCTCTATTTATTAAAAACCGCGATAACAATGGCCACGAAGGTAATTTTTTGCAATCCCATTTGCTTTCCCACTTAGCAAGTTTCTCATTATAAAATTTGCTGCAAATCAAATGAAAAACTAGCACGTCGAAAGTGAACAATAATTGCCTTGCTTACATATAGGTAAGGTAGTAGTCATAGGGACCGATGGTAGTAAACACCCGATAATTCCAAGCAGTCAATGGTTCCCAAAGAAACGACAGCTAAAGCGCATCGCAAATTTATTAACTTCGACAAGCATAGCCAACTGGTACACTCGGTGTACTTTGAGCCCCTCGACTTCCTACGTGACGATGCAGCCTTACTCAAAGAAGACGCCTTTGACGTTTGTCGACGATAAAGCCTGAGGACACAACTAGGCTTGGCAAAACAACACCTAAGTAACTGTGTTGTAATAAAAATATATGCTATTTTTTATTCAATACAATAAACATGTACATAAACAAGTAAGAGGTTCTAGTCAGTAGCTCCCGACTGAGTAATACCCTGAACCCTCTTATTTCAACACCAAGTAAATTTTATATAAAGTACCCTTGGCAGGGTTCGAACTCGCAACTGACCGCATTACATGCTGTCGACTCTACTCAACAGCTGCACCAGCAAAAAAAAATGCTTTCCTCGGTAGGACTCGCGCTCGCGACAGACTGCACCACTTGCTATGCCTCTACTGAGCAGCCAAGCCAATAATTAAGTACTTATGATAAAAAAAGGAACTAAAATAGCATTACAAAAGTCGCAATTACCATGCTGTTAGAATGCGAAGCAGAAATTCTTAAAGATGCTGCTCTATTCAATTGCGCAGTTGCATATAACTTTGGTTTTTTCTTAACCGATCTTTCTGAAATTTTCTAGAGTATATCTTATTGTACCATAGAATATTTGTGTATACTGAAAAAGTAAATTGCATTTAAATGGTGGCTTAAATTGGTTGGCAATAAAAGTTGGGTTATTAACTTGATTTATAGCTCTAGGGTGGTAGCGGGGAGGTGGCGATAGGTATAAAATGAAAGATACTTGACAAATATATAATATTTTAGAAGCAACATATCATTTTTGGTGACTCTAGCTCTTGTTATTTACCGAAATTGCCAAAAAAAAAAAAAAAAAACAGGGTATCGATTTCGTTTTGTATCGATTGATTGGAAACGGAGTAAGTTATCGATTATCGGAACAAACTCGATCTACGCAGGCACTAGGAGCACCCAAATCTAAAATTTCAAGTCTCTAGCTCTTATAGGTTCTGAGATCCTTGCGTTCATACATACGGACGGATGGACGGACAGACAGACGGACATGGCTAGATCGACTCGGCTATTGATGCTGATCAAGAATATATTTACTTTATTGGGTCGGAGACGCTTCCTTATGACTGTTACATACATTTGCACAAAACCATTATACCTTTTTTTTTGCATTTTCGATGGGTTCAGGTTAAAAAAAGATTGTTATATATCGTGCCTTTTTCAAGAGCTGTCAAACTGTAAATGAATACATATATAAGTTTGATTCTTAAGGTTTTTCTTATATTCATGCTGCGCAACCACTGAATTTGATCGGCTGGTTAAAAATAAATGTAGTACGAATGTGTTTCGCGATATTCCCACACATACAGCTCTTAATATTGGCCTGTGCGTCGATTACCTCACACTCAATCAGTCAGCACATCCTGTTTAAAGAAATAGCTTCAATAAAAGCGAATTAGTTCAAAAATATGTAAATAATTTATTTTTTATATTTAATAATTTAATTACATACACATAAATGTGTATACATACTTTAATTATGATATACCTTTTACACATTTTCATTTATAGGTAATCCTCAAAAAAAGAAATATTTGTAAAAAAGAAAATAAAAAAAGTTTTTCAACGATGTTAACATCTCAAGAAAGTGTAAAGGCTTGGATACTATCAGCTCTTATGGTACATGGAGCAGTTGCAGGCAATCCCGACGCTAAGCGACTTTACGATGATCTTTTAAGTAACTACAACAAACTGGTTCGACCAGTCGTTAATACTACAGATGTTCTTAAAGTTTGTATAAAACTTAAGCTTTCACAACTGATTGATGTAGTAAGTATTAAATCTAGATATGATATCTTAAATCTATAAAGAAATTGGAATTTGGAAGATAGCTTAATACTATCTGAAAAAAGTGAATGCGAAACTAAATTGTAACGTTCTGGTTTGTGTATATTACAACTTTTTGCTTTGAAATATACTCAACAAATCAGCAGTCGATAGCGTGAGCTGTTGATGTTGGCAAACAAAATATAATTGGGCACGCGACTAACTATCTGTTGTATTCTTTTGCAAAACTGCAAGACTTAAGCATGAGACTTTAAATTTGGAGAGATGGTTGCCCATTAGCACCTGCAGATAAACTTTATTCAAAATCAGCGAAAGGTATTCCATTTTCGCGGTATTGATATAGCCCGGCCTTAATTATATTTTTAGATAAAACGATAAATCCTTTATTATATTTTGATCTTTAATATTATACTTTAATTTTTTCGCTCTTTTGCTAGTATACCAATATAAGTAATATTTACTTATGTTAACTTATATAATATTCTTGAAGCTACATGTTAAGTTTGGTGACTTTTCAATTCTTAGCGATTACTTGGAAACGGGACTATTTATCGTACATCGGAAATAAACTCGCAGTGCGCTGGCACTTGGAGGACCTACGTTCCAAATTTTAGGTCTCTAGAGGTTTTGAGGTTTTTTCCGTAACTTTGGGTTCAGGGTATAAAAACAACAGTGCGCTCTTATTTTCGTCGTCTCCCTGAATATGTGTTTAAGAACTATGTGGACGTGTGTTTGTTGCTGGTTTCTCTGTGGTTCCTAAAATGTAAAGAGTAAAAACAGTAAGAACACAATTTGGGTACTAATTTTGTTAAATACCAAAGGACCATGCCATTCAAATCCAAGGCTTACTTGTCGAATGAAGAGGGTTTTGATTTGGCTGTTAACTTCCAACCTTGTTTCATGCCATTCTTTGTATTGGGTTGAAAAGGCTTTTTGACGTGAGCCTGGAATTGTTGATATACACCGCAGTATATAGGTATGGAGAAAGCAGAATAGCTCGTGATACGAAAGTCTTCATGAACTTCATTATGATAAATTATGCGAAACGAATCGGAGTATTGCCCTGACTGTCGAAAAACTTGGAAGGACCATGTCAAGTCTGCAGCTCAGAGAGAAAAAGGAAAATTGACCGTCACCTTAGACCATGGACCAGACTCAACCCAAATGCCAGGTGCGGCTTCCTCATGCTGAGGCACCGCGTTTGATACCACAATCAGACAAGTCCAAATGACAATCACTAAAACATCACATTGCAAAATTATTCTGCAGATTTCGAATACGAGGTTAGGACAAACCGCAGTTCAAACTGCTAGATTTAATCATATATTGTGAGTAGCCAACAATAGCTTTAAAATTGACAAGGTCCTTTAGTTTGATCTAATCTAAGATTTAAGCAGGAAAGAAAATTAATAATAATGATTTGGTCATATAAGGTAGCAAAGTAACAACTGTGCGTACCACAACTTGGAAGAGAGAACGGGAATTACGTCACTCAGTTACCCTTCGGAAATCCCGATCACACCAATTTGATACTTCAAAATATATCGAATTGGCTCAGTTCCTGAAAACGAAAGTCTTTACTTCTATCTTTGACTTCACACTGTTATCAAGCCTGAAAGCCGAATCATCAAGGACCGTGTGAATTTTTTGTATCCAGCCATTCTGCCCATGACGTCAGCTCAAATTATATCATCTCCCTGAAGATGTAGAAGCACAGTATCCATGTGGTAGTGATATCATAAGGGGCTATATGTCTGTATTTGACGTTCTTGCGGTGCACACACCATAAAGGAGGCGCGCTTATAAATATTTGAGCTACAGAAACCTCTTGAGACAGTCTTTTTTAGCCCAATAAAGTGGACATCAAATTCAAAAGATGTTCAATACTGTATTATTCTATTTATACATCCCATCAAAAACACATCAGAATAATAATTGTATTCATAAAGACACTTAAGTTACGAATATTTCCCTGTCAAAAATAATTCTGTACATATATTTATACGTACAGTTGCTAAGTTAAGGTGTTCCTCATCCCTGTAACTCGCTACAAATACAAGAAGTGGTCGAGAAACGAAATCATCTCGTTGCCGAGTCTGCTGTGGAATTCACTCAATGCTGCCAATTCCTGCGTCTACAGATGCAGGGGCGGGATGTGGACGTATACTACTTAATTTACAAGTTAATCTAAGCGGGGATACTGCCCCTAAATATGATGCAGACCAAGAATATAAATACTTTATTAGTTGGGCGACGCTTTTGCTTGTTAGATACATTTGCACAATATCATTGTACCCTTTTTACCTATTTACAATGGTTTTAATGTGTAAGATTAATATAAAAAAAACAATTGGTCAGCAGTTTATTATCAATATCGTTGTGGAAAAACACATGGAATGATTAATTAAATTGAAAGTCTTTGTATGTATGTAAGGGGCTATATTACGTTATCTTCAAATTAAAATATTATAGCACCGGGTTAAGAAAAAATGAATTCTACATTGATATTTATGTAGCGTGTAATGAATTGTATATACTAAGCATGTGTAAGAAGAAGAAAAAGATGTGAACATGAATTTTGATTCATTAATGAAAATTTATCAATTTAATTGGATGCATAGATATGGTTTCGATTGATTGATGAGGACAATCCATAAAATTTACTTACTTCATTACTATCAAAAATTCTTGCAGTCTTAATCTCTTAAAATGACAACGATACTAACAACAATCTAATATATCATGGAAATTACTTTGCCCTTGTATGCAATTGTGTATTTATACATAAGCGCAAGACAGTGACACGGTCAAATGAAATATGATCAGCAACTTGACGGCAACCGTCTTATGCCGTCTTACGGCAAATGTCTTGGATCACCATGTATAAGAAGTATATAGCTGCACGCGAACCAATAGTTTAGTCAACTATATATGCACTAGTACGCTCTCCTCTCCCTCTCAGAGCCTTAACATAATTATGCTAAGATAAAATTGTAGGCTGGAAAAATTCAAAATAAATAAAATTAAAAATTCAGTCAAAATAAATAAATGAAATGTATAACACATGGAAGGAGTCATCTCCGACCTTATAAAGTATATAAATATTCTTGTTTAATATCAACATCCGAGTTGTTATAGAAATGTCTGGCTGTCTGTTTCTATGCGGACTAGTGTTTTAGTTATAAAGCTGTTGCCATGAGACTTTTGCATAGTCCCTTTTTCTGTTACACACAGTACATATATCGCCAACGTCTGAATCGGACCACCATATTATTGAGCTACCATAGGAACGACCGATGGCAAAGTAGGTTCTTGTCTGAACAACATTTTTGTTTTTCTCGATATCTTGACCGAAGTCGGCACTTATAAGTTTACGAACTGCGGTATTCTCGCATATCTGCAAAAGGGAAATGTCTGCAATGGTCTTATATTTTCAGCGTGCCGAAGATAACCTTACTTTCTCGCTATACTTCCAAAGGATTATAAATGTGCTCTGATTAGTTTTCACATTTGCTTCTATACCCTAATTGAAGGTCATGATAATGATTTTTTCATAATGGCAATTATGTTTTACCCTCAAGATCATATGAACGAAAGGATAGTAGTGTTGTTTTCTAGAGAAAATTCTGAAAAAGTATTTATTTATTTATTAATTGCCTATTTAGAGTACACAATTTTCTAATAGCATCATTGACAAAGCTAAGAAAAGTGTTTAAGTGAGAAAAAAACGCGATTAAGTAAAATTAGAATAATAATAATGTGATATGTTATTTAACAGAATACAATAAATAGAAAAAAAGAAAGTAAGAAGATTCTTAATAAAGTAGAGAAATGTTTGTTTAAGATATATACAGCGTTAAGTAGATAAGATAAAGAGATAGAAATGGGAATGCACCGACCCGGTGGGGGAAAATTCATTGCTGGGAATGGTCAGTAAAGGTATCCTGAAAGCAAGGATTTTATAAGGGGCAGAAAAAGTTCGGTAGAGAAAACGTGATGTAAACTATTGTAATTTTTACAAAAGATGCGAGAAGGATTGTGCATAGCATAGTCTGCTGTGCACGTAGATAGAAATAAGGGGCAATAATTCCTGGTTAGTCAGGTGAGCAGATTCAATACTGGTTATTGTTATGCTGTAGAGACCAGATGCAAGAGCAGTATTCAAGGATAGAACGAACAAGAGAGATGTACAGAAATTTAGTTATAAAAGGATCGTTAAAATCTTTAGTCCATCGTTTAATGAATCCAAGTACACCTTTTGCCTCATTAACGATGGTATCTATGTGAAGATTGAAACATAGTTTAGAATCAAAAATAACGCCTAGATCCTTAACTGTTAGTATACAGCAAAGGGATATTGTCGATTGTATAACTGACAAGATAAGGTGTAGTACGATTAAATGTCATAAACATACACTATGAACAATTCAGATGCAATTGATTGGCCGAACACCAAAGTTGCATAGCGTTCAAATCATCTTGTAGACGAGAATGATGTAGGGGATTAGTGTATAATATAATAAGTTTTAAGTCGTCATACATAAGTACACGTACATGTGATATAACAAAGGGGCGATCGTTCATAAAAAGAGTAAAGGTTAAGATGACTACCTTGGGGAACACCAAAAGTAACGTGACCCTGTTTAAAGGAAGTCAGCCTCAGCATTACTCTTTGGGTCCTTCCCATTTCAAAAAGAACTAATGCTAAACAAAAGAGACGGAGGGCAACCTATTCGGTCAAGTTTTAAAAGTAAAATGTTATGGTGGACAGAGTCATCAGTGACATCAGTTTGCATTTTCGAAAGGAAAGCAACATTTACCAAGTAAGTAAACTCAAGCAAATTGGTCGTAGTAGACCGAGTCTTTACGGATCCATATTGAACAGGAGAAACAACTGATTTGTAGAAATGCTGCAAATTCGAAGTGATTATTTTTAATATATAATTTATGGAAAGCGGACAGGTTTGCAATGCCCCCGTAAT